GGAAGAGCGAGATGGGCAGTGTGACATACGATGAGGAGGCAGCCATGAACACCTACCTTGCCATCAACGCCCTGCTCGTGGCTGAGCTCCCGCGGTTCAACCAGGCAGCTCTGCAGCTCCTGGGGCAGATACTGTGCTCCCTCAGTGCCCTGCAACGGGACTTGGCTGCCCAGGTCCTGCACCAGGCAGAAAGGGAGCTAGAGCAGGTGAGAGTGACCCTTTGGCATGTGTGCCCAAACCAGCACACATGCTGAGCCAGACCTGCCTTCTTCAGGCTTGGGACATCACTTGGATGTCAGGGCACTGAAGGTTTGCTGTAGCCCAAGCCTGCCCTGCAGACACACAGCCAACTGTCTAGCATTTGTAAGTGCTCTCTCCTCCCCTTTGGCTGGGGAAAGCCAAATTGTCTCTTCTTCACTGCCAGGAACTGTCCTGCTCTCTCTTTGAGGACACCACTGGTAATTTATTGATGTGCTGTTTGAGAGATCAGTGTTAACTCTGAGCTCCTGAAAGCTCTGTGCTGGGAAGGCAAAGAGAAGGACAGCTCCTGGCCTGAGGAATGAGCATGCCTCAAACCTCCATCCCCTGGGAGATATCTCCCAGGACTCCTCACTGCACAGCACTCTCTGAGTCTGATGTTTGCAAACGTGGTGGATCACGCCAGTCCAGAGCCCTGGGGTAGAGCATGGCCCTGGCCTGACCCACGACCGAGATGAGAACAAGATGCAGCCATGTGGAGGTATCCAGGCACTGCTTGTATGTGCCTAGTCATGAGGGTGGATTCCCCTTGCTCAGCCTGGGATGCTTACGCTGCAGACATCTACCCCAGAGCTACATCCACCTGTCTCCCTTTTTAGTCAGGTGGGATGGACTGTGGGCTTGGGGCAGGACAACAGGACCCAGGGACTGCTGCAGTGGGCTGGGTACAGCCCAAGAGCCCCGCATGTGACTGCCCTGCCCAGGGCAGGTGGCTCAAAGCCAGAGCACAGCAGCTCTCCATGCCAAAGGGAACCACACCCTAGATGCAAGGTGCATCTTGAGTGATAAGGTCTGTTCTCTTGCTTTCTCATCTCTTTTCTTCCTGCTCCTTCTCTTTTGACCCTGCCCACAGCTGTTCCCCTCCCCAGGGCCCTCTCTGATCTCAGGGTCTGTCTTCACAGATGCCCCATGGCCGCATGCCTCTGCCCAGTTTCTGGAAGATGGTGGAAGACACCTTCCAGCAGTCTCGTGCTCAGCTCTGTACCTTCTGCCAGACATTTGAGATGGTCACGCCAAGCCCTGTGACACAGGTAGGAGCTGGGAAGGGGATGTCTCAGGCCAGCTGGAGGAAGAGGCAGGACTGTGGCTTTCCAGTGCAGAACATCTCCTTGGCGGGGAGGTTGGCTCAGAAAGTGGCACAGGGGCTTGCTGCAGCCACAGTATTTCCCCCAAGCCCCCAACAGCAGCTGGCTGGGAATAACCAGGGATGAGACAGTCTCAGCTCTTCTGGTTCTGGACACTTGTCTCAAAACCATGAGGTAGAGCAGATAGTGTGAAGGAGTTTCTCCTCTAACTGCTCACTAGGATGTGATCCTGCAGAGAGATCCATGCACATGTGCATGGAGGGCCTCAGTCTCCCATCTGTCTCATCAAGTGCTCCTGTGTCTCTCGCTCCCCAACAGCCTCTGAACCCTGCTGAGGAACGGAAGGTCCTTTCCCTTGTGAGCAAGCACGGCCCAGACAAACTTTACCAAGTGACAAGCAACATCACTGGCAGCAAAGACTTGGACCTGACCTTGCAAAGGGGACAGATTGTAGCTCTGCTGCAAAGTGTGGACACTAAGGGGAACACAAGCAGATGGCTGGTGGATGCTGGAGGTACTGTGAGCGCTATGGGGAGCCTCTCCCTGCCTCAGCACCAGGGTCAGAAAACAAATCCAAACCACTTCCTCATCTTGGATGAAACAGCAGGCCATTGCCTCCTGGGTCCTCCTTTCCAGGGTTTGCTCAGCCCAAACCCACATCTGCTTTGCCAGCTGCACCCGTAGCCATTAGCTGTAAAGTTCAGGTTTCCCCATGAGGGAGCACTCATGGCTCATCATGGCTGGGAAAGGAGAATCCCGTGCACACAGAAACATCTTGAAACCCCTTTTTGGGAGGGGTTGCTGCTGGATATCCCCTAGTGATGGACCAGTTTGAACAGGGCTTCTGTGCCATGCCAGGCAACAGCCAGGTTGTCATTCTTCTCTCCTCCAACCATTCCTATATGTGCCAGGCAGTGGGGCCCCATGACCTGTGTGTGTGCGTGTCCTCCAGGTCCCCGAGGGTTTGTGCCTGCTGGAAAACTCCAGCCCTATTGCCCGGTACAAAGCCAGCAGCTCGGGATGCAGATGCCAGCCCTGGAGAGCAGCACAGAGAGAAGGCGACATTCGTATGCATCTCCTGAAGCTCCCAGGCCCCAGGTGGCCACCTTCACCCCAGCTTACCAGGTGAGAGTCCAGGACACCCCTCCCAGGGCCATTCCTAGCAAACCCACCAGCTCCATGCCAGTCCCTGTGTGTGCAGCGTGTGGGTGGGAAGTGGACCTGCTTTTCCAGCGCACACATGGTCATACATGTGCAGCCATGTGCCTAGCAGGGGAGTGTCACAGCCCCTGGCCAAGTGCCCTGTGAAGCTGGTGCCTGCCTTGCTAGGACCTGGGGTGGACAAAGCAAGAGAACTCTGCTCGGTGGGGTCCCCAGTGTCCCTCCATCGATGGCAGTGCTGCGCTGCCCTCTTGGAGACAACCTCCATGCCCCTTCTAGGTCCTGCCCTGCCATGTATGTCCTTTCCCCCTTTGACTCTCGCGTCCGGCACGGGCTTCCTCCCTCCTTCCCCTGCCTTTTGCAGGTGGTCGCTGGCTTCTCCTTCACAGCCAGGAGTCCGCAGGAGGTGAGCCTCCAGGCAGGGCAGCCCGTGGTGGTGCTGGAGCCGCACGACAAGAAGGGGAGCAAGGAGTGGAGCCTGGTGGATGTGAATGGCCAGAGGGGCTACGTGCCCTCCAGCTACCTGGTGACCGTCCCCGTGCATGAGCCCACAGGCTGGAGCTTGCCTGTGTGAGCACGGCCAGCCCAGCACCCAAAGGGCACAGGCTTCATCAGATGAGAACTGTCCACTTGGCACCCAAGAACTTGCCACAGGAGATGCTGGAGAGGGCAGATGTGGTGGCCCCAGGCCGGGGAGGTGGTGGGAAGCAGCTGGCAGAATATGGCCTGGGGGATGTGGGTGCGAGGGATGGCAGTCGGGAGGCACATTTTGATGGATAGGCGTGAGGGTGCCGTGTCCCATATGTGTTTGCACAAAGGAAAGGAGCATGAGGGAGTGAGGGCAGGTGGCTGCAGTTTTCCAGGGATTTGCTGAAATCCATGTCAGTGACAAAAGTGTCCCTAGGGGTGATGAGACAGCATTGTCCCCAGTTAGATCAGGACAGAACTGTAAAGGGTGCTGTGCTGCAGAGGGCGTCTTTGGCCTGGCAGGGAGCATCTGGGGCTCTTGGATAGAGTCTCTCAGGGAAATCACTGGTTTGAGTGCAGAGACCGAGGCAGAGCAGCCCCAGACACATGGCTCCCCGCTCCTCACCGGGGTGT